GAAGCCCTAAGCTACATATGGTTAGACGTTATTTTCTGGATGCATATGACAACCTTTGTCTTTAACTAAACAGTACTTAGCCTGCTATTATCTGTTATTACGACTGATATGGCCATGGATCTGAGGTGGCAAAAATATTTATTTCAGCACAAATTTTGATGTCTGTTTGGGGACTAGGTGACTTCTGTAGCTTTTAACTGCAAGTATTTCATGTGCTGTGCTTACTTGCTCAGTCATGTCTGACTCTTTGCGACTCCATGGACTGTAAACTGCCAGGCTCCTCTCTCCATAGGGATTCTCCAGGCAAGAATATTGGAGTGGGTTACTATGTCCTCCTCCAGGGGTTCTTTCCAATCCAGGGATTGAACCCAGGTGTCCAACATTGCAGGTGGATTCTTTACCATCTGAGCCACCAGGGTGCCCAAGAATACTAGAGTGGGTAGTCTATCCCTTCTCCAGGGGATCTTCCCGACCCAGGAATTGAACCTGCATTGCAAATAGAATCTATACCATCTGAGAGGCTTGTCAATCTCAATGTTATATTAATAGTATGTGATGATGCTGCTATTCTTACTATTATCAGCTTTCAGTGTCTTGACTCCCCACCCAACAATGTAGACTAAAAGAAATGTAGTGTCCACTTCACACTTATTAGGATGACTGTTTAAAAAAAATAAAATACCAAGTGTTTGTCAAGGATGTGGAGAAATTAGTACCTTTGTGCATTGCTAGTAGGAATGAAAAAATGGTGCAGCCACTATGGAAAATGATATGGTGGTTTAGCAATAACCTAAACATACAATTATCATATGAATCAGCAGTTTCACTCCTGGGTGTATCCCCAAGAAGAAGTGAGAGCAGAGACTTAAACAGGTAAATTGTACACCCACGTTCCTAGCAGCATTACAATATCCAAAAGGTGAAGGTATCAACAAATATGGTATATACACACAATGGAATATTATGTGGGTTTAAAAAAGAAGGAAATTCTGATACCTGTTGCAACATGGATGAAGCTTGAAGACATCATGTTAAGTGAAATAAGCCTTTTGCAAAAGGACACATTGTATAATTCCACTTATGTGAAGTACCTAGATAGGTCAAATTCATAGGAAGAGAAAAAGAATGGTGGTTGGACTTCCCTGATAGCTCAGTTAGTAAAGAATCTGCCTGTGATGCAGAAGACCCTTGTTTGATTCCTGGGTCGGGATGATCCACTACAGAAGGGATAGGCTTCCCACTCCAGTATTCTTGGGCTTGCCTTGTGGCTCAGCTGGTAAAGAATCTACCTGCAGTGTGGCAGACCTGGGTTCAACCCCTGGGTTAGGAAGCTCCCCTGAGAAGGAAAAGGCTAACCCACTCCTGTATTCAGATTTGGAGAATTCCATGAACTGTATAGTCCATGGGGTCGCACAGTTGGACACAACTAAGCAACTTTCACTTGGCAGGGGCTGGGGCAAGTGGGGAGTGGGATGTCAGGAATTAGTGTTCAATGCCTATGGAGTTTCAATTTGGGAAGATAAAAAAGTTCTAGTGATCAATGGTGGTGATGTTTACAGAACAATGTAAATGTACTTAATGCCAGAGAACTATACACTTAAGATAGGCTTAAAAAGTAAATTTTTTATTATATACATTTTACCACAATAAAACAATACCAAAAAACTGCTGTACCTATACCCAGGAATAGTCTGCCACTGTTCCTGGGGTTTTAACATAAGAATTAGTCAGTACTTTGAGAGAAGTCAATTCTGTTGTCCTTTCTAATGCTGTTCTTACCACAGCTCAGAGGTCAAAACAAAAATATTTTCTAGGGGTGCCTTATGTTTGCATAGCACTTTGTATTTGAAGAAGACTTTTATGTATCCAAACCCATTTAATCCTCGTGACAGCCCTATAAGGTAAGCAGTATTACTCCCTTCTAATTGATGGAAGAAAGTGGAGCCTAAGAGATTAATTTGTCCAAGACCACCAGGATATTAAGGATGCAAAGGTTCAACTAGTTATCTTCTGACTGAAGTCATTGATCTCCCAACATACAGAAATAGTTGTCAACTTACTATGAACTTTACATTTAAAATGCCAAGAGCAAAGTGGTATGCTTGTTAAACTGAATAAAGAAAAGAAAAAGATAACATCATTACCTTCTCAGTGACCAAGGAATAATGACTATGTTGAATTTACGCTCTGAATCCTATTAACATATTTGTGGTCTTTTATGATACTCGAGTTCCAGGCCTTGGTCACGTTTAAACTCTGGTTGACTGTGTTTTTGCACTTTGGCTTCTGAAAATACTCTTGAATTTAGGGAACGAGGGCCTCTTCCTTAAAAGTCATTGTCTGAGGTTGCAGGTATTCAAATTTTAATTGAAATTCTCAAAAATTTTTGTCTGAGTCCAATAAAAACAAGTAGTCAGGTTGTTCTCTGATTGTTATGCAAGAACTGTTTCATTTTTAGCCTTAAATTTCCTTTTTTATTGCTCTCCTTGGAGTGGATGGCTAATGTAAATGGGAGAAACCTGGCAATGCACCATCACTACCCTTAACAATTTTATGAGCTCCCCGCTAGAACAAATGTCTGGGTCAGTGCAACCTCACGCACACAAGTTCCTCTCCCTTTGAAGCCTGCCATAGATAAGTCAACTCAAAACCTCAATTCTCCTGCTTCCGAATGCTGAGCGAGTAGCTTTCTCTGTCTCTAGGAAGATTTGGTACCTCATGGAAGGCGGGTGTCATTACCATTCCCTTTCTGTGTATAAGCCTTCTTGAATATATTAAACTGAAACATAGGTAACACCCCCTGAGACAATATGCAATAGGTTTCTCACCATTTTTTGTAGCCAGTGAAAGAATTTTGAGATTTTGCACTCCTGTGTGATATCAGTAAAGTTGACCCCAATAGGTTAAGCATTGCATGTTCAAAGAGAGGATCCCCCTCTTTCCTCTTTCAAGTTGTTCCAGCCAGTGTGAGGCGAAACTGGACAATCTTCTTACCATTGCATTTACAGCACAGATTCTGAAGTCAGCTCTCCCAGTCTCATGTATCTTGAAATGTTTGGAAGCATGCCACTTTATAGCGCTCACAGCATTTTGGGTCTCTCTTCTCTTCCATTTTGCTGTAAAATTCATAAGCCAGGGTGTAATGGGAAAATGAAGTGCTTTAACAACAAAATAATAGCTCACATCTTCATTTGAGCAACATCAGGCAAACTTTCCCCTTGGATATATCTAACTAATTCCTTTTATTCCCATAACTTACATTTATTAAGCACCTCTTCTGTACCAGAAACAGTGCTAAACACTTCATACACATTATGTCATTTAATCCAGACCACAGAACAACATAGTAGATACTAACTTATTCTCATTGTACATAGAAACACACAAAGTAAGGAGATTGAGTGCATACAAAGCAAGAAATTTTCTTGCTCTGTGTAAAATTACTTTTTCTATGAAATATTTTACAAACCTATCTCAAAGAGATTGTTATCTTTTATAACAATTCTAAAAAGAGCTTTATACTTCCAATTGAAAGAATTTTCAGAATCAGTCTTTCCAACCCCATCAATAATTTATATATTTTAGTATTTTCTTCTTTCAGCAGGGGGGAGCACCAACTTTCATATTATTATTTCATGTGTTTCATATCTATTTTGTTTTCTCTCAGCTTTTCCCTTCTGCATGATTTAAACAAATAATAATAGCAGGAAATCCTGGTTAACATTCCTTCCAAGGCTGTATTCTCTGATGCCTCAGTCACTTTGTTTTCAGTGTCAAACTATTCGATTTCCTGTATTCTACCAAAGAGTGAATGATATGAAGCACTTATTGTTTGTCATTGTGAAAATATAGCAAAAAAAAATTCAATGGTAGACAAAAATGAGAAGTAGCTCCATGTAATGAATAAAGCAGAAATTATTTTTACTGCTGCCTAAAAGATGAAGAACATTATGAAGTCAAGCTTGTTTTTAGAAAGAAGCTTGGGTTTTTTTAAGACATTTTACTCTGGTATTTATATAATTTCAACAAGGCATTTTGCAATCCATTTAACATAAAATTAAAAAGATGAACATCTACTTTGTTCTCAGAATTTAAAGTGAGTAAAGATTATGTATGGGCTTCCCTGGTGCCTCAGGTCAGTCAGGAAGATCCCCTGAAAAGGAAATGGCAAGCCACTCCAGTATTCTTGCCTGGGAAGTCCCATGGACAGAGGAGCCTGGTGGGCTACAGTCCATGGGATTGCAAACAAATGAGCAACTAACACCTTTTCAGACTATATATAAGAAATGGTTCTGGGCTTCCCTGGTGGCTCAGTGGTAAATAATCCACCTGCCAATGCAGAAGACACAGGTTCCATTCCTGATCTGGGTTGATCCCACATGCAGTGGAGCAGCTACTGAAGCCCATGTACCCTAGAGCCCACGCACCCTAGAGCCCAGCACTGTGCAACAGGAGAAGCTGCTGCAGTGAGAAGCCCGCACACCATAACTAGAGGGTAGTCCCAGCTCAGAGCACTAGAGGAGAGCCTGTGCGGCAGCAAAGACCCAGCAGAGCCAATAAATAAGTAAAATTAAAAAAAAAAAGAAAAAGGAAATGGTTCTTGCCCTGATGAGCTTATGTTTTAGTGGATGAAAAGGATACAAATAAATTTAATTACACCCAAGGAAGTATATATTAGGTCCTTTTGCTTTTCTTCAGGTTCTTTAACAAGACCTGAAAATTTATTCTTTAAAATACATCTTGAAACCAACACAACATTGTGAAACAATTATCCTCCAGTTAAAAAAATAAACTATGTCTTGAATCCGTCGTCCTCTTCAGTGAAACCCTGATTTTGAGTTTTAGAACTAGCATAATTTTATGCTTCAAAGTTTAGATTCTGTTTTCCCTTCATTTATTGTCTGATTATTGTGATCAATTCTTAAATCTGGATTGAAAGGCTGAGAGACACTTCCATGTTACTCCCTTCAAGATACATCTTTATGTTCCTCTTCTACTAGAGTCATCAGAAATCGGACCTTCCCTTGTGATTCACACCACTGTCCCATTTGGAGTTACACACTTGGAACACAGCATTGAGGATGTGCAGGAGTTAATCTTCCAGCAGCTGGAAAACATTTTGCCTGGTTTGCCTCAGCCAGTTGCTACCAAATGCCAGAAATGGAGACATTCACAGGTAATCAGAGAACCCAGTGGTATGAGCACAATTTTCTTAATCAGATCTGACTTTACTTTTTCTCATCTTTTGCCACTCTCTAGTAAAAGAAATTAACATGTGATCTTGGGAGCAAATATGCATTTGTCTAATAGAGAAGTTTACATGCAAGTTTGTATTATCCTGTTATTTCTCAGTAAGAGACACATATAATTTTCCCCAATGCTATGTTCAAATTCTAGCATCTAGACTTATATAACCTGAAAATCTGGGGTTTCTTATGCAGGCAAGGCAGGTTATATATCAAAATGCAGCTGTTTCTCTGAGGTTTTTCTAAATCAGTACTGTGGTTATATAGAAACCACTATAACCTCCCAAATTTTTTGCAATATGTCAAATTAACCTTGTAAGTATATTTTGCTACCACAATTTTCATTTTTATTAAGTTCCCACTTTGGTTTTGACTGCTGCTGGTAGAGATGTTCGGGAGAGAATGAGTACCTGAATAGATCAGGTATAAGTGATGAATGAAAAATGAATAGATCAGCTAGTTGAGCTGTTTTTTCAGGGTTAGATAAACCTGCTGATCAGTCTACTATTCAAACTGAAAAAACTCCTTACACTCAGTAAATGCTGACTTTCCTGAAAATCCTCTGTATATTCCAACAGAAGTTTCTGAGTATTCATAGAAAAAGTATTGATCTGTAAACTCAGTTGTGAAGTGGTTTGGGGACAGTGGAGCAGAGGGAAAAGGAAGCAGTGACTTGTCTATTTTTTCCTAAGATTTCCTAGCACATTGATTACCTGATTTATCAGCACTAATTGTTACTAGAGCTGTGAACCCTTTAGAAAAAGTGGTTGGGAGAAATCACACCAGATTTTATATATTTTAAAGGACTTTCCAAAATCAGAGGAAATGGTAAATTACTTCCTAAAATATTGCAGCAGTTCTATGTGTTTACCCATATCTCTCAAGTTAAATTATACAGTGAACCTTTCAGGAAAATATTTACTTAAACACATCATGGTCACTTTAGAAGACTTCTTCCTTTTAAAACAACTTTTTCAAATCTCAATAGCTAATGTCTTTAAATGATATTTTACTTAATCTTAGGTTGGTCTGAAAAAGAAAACACGGAAATAATCTTGTTGATATAATTTGAAACTAGATATTTTACATAGCAAGTGAAGTGAAGTGAAAGTTGCTCAGTCCTGTCCGCCTCTTTGCAACACCATGGACTATACAGTCCATGGAATTCTCCAGGTCAGAATACTGGAGTGGGTAGCCTTTCCCTTCTCCAGGAGATCTTCCCAGCCAAGGGATCAAACCCAGGTCTCCTGCATGGCAGGTGCATTCTTTACCAGCTGAGCCACAAGAGAAGAGCCTTATTTCTGCCTGTCATAACCTTCCTTCCCCCAGAATTCTTTAGTAGATTCCTTTATGAGGCAGTATTGCCTGCCCCTCTAATAAAACCTCTGGGGAGAGCACCAGCCCTTTAAGGCTCAAGCCACTTTCTGGAAGTGACTGCTTTCTGAAAGAGGTAAGGGAGTATTTTGTGTAGAGTCCATTTTATGTTTCCTTGATGTGGCTCTCCAAGCCTTCTTCTGCCTCTAATGCCTTATATCCACAGTGGCAGGACTGGGGGGAAGGGGCGGGCCGGGGGGGGGGGGGGCGGGCAGGGTAGTGAAAGATGGTTGTTCATTTATTCATTTGTTTACTTGTTTATTCCATGAGCATATAACAAATGCCTAGGTCACATCTAATACTCTGTCCATGGAATCCTAGAGACTAATCTTTGCTGAAAGCCTTCTCCTAAGACACGAAATCAAATTTTTTGTCTTGAGTAGGATAGCACTGCTTTCTAGCGGGTGCTGCTATTAAGGAAGGAGGCAGATGAAGAAAGAAGGTGTGTTTGAAAGACTTGCGGGGCTGCTCTGTGCCTCCCATTTGGGATTTGAATAAAACACATGAGTAGGTGGTTCAGACAAACACAGCAAAGCAATGGCAGATTTTTTGTGATTCTCAGTTCCTCCCCTTTGCAGCTATTTGCCTTCCATCATTTAAATGCTTATCCAGTTAATATACCTTGATGCCTAAGCTGTGATACATTGAATTAAGATTTCTGTAACAAGTACGATATATTAATCTTCTCAGCAGAAGAGTAATAACTGAAAACAACTTCCATGTACATTGACAGGGGACACTTAATCAGTTTGATAACCCTAATCCTCTCACCACTATTATTCGCATGCTTCCCTTTGTTTCAGAGTCTATCATGATGTCTTTCCCAAACTACTCTAGTTTTATACATTTACTATAAAAATATGATTTGCTTGTGAGTTTAACTCTAACTTTCCCCCGTATTTCTGTAGTTTCTAAATATTTCAGTGCCTTTTTTGTCATGTAGCACATTCATGGATTACTCTTTTATAAAAAATAAATAAAATAATCACTGAATGCATTTCAAACACCATGGGGATCAAGAGAGGAATTTAAGGGTAGGGAAAAAGGAGAGTCAGGTGGTAAATGAATGCTTTGGTATCTTTGGCAAAAATAAATGGATTTGGACTAGCCTATTAAACTCTTGCTGTAAAATTAGAATTGTTCTCTTCTGTAGTTGCATTTCTTCACTTGGTCTTTTGCCCTGAGGCTGTACTTTCTCTCTGCTCAATGTGAGCTCTTTTATATTCTTTAAGAAGGATCATGAACTCTTTAGGAACCTCATCAAAGCCATGAATATCAAGATGTACAGCCTTTCAAAATATACATGTACACATAAACAGAAAATTGCATCTAATTATGAAGATTTACAAGCAACCTAAAATGCCTCCCACAAATCCAGCATTAAGAACACCTGCTGTAAATGTTATTCTCCTATAACCCAAATAAATCAAGAATCCCTCATAGCCCAGTCTTGTGTTGTGGTCAAAGACACAAAATTCAGCAACCTAAGGGAATGTAAAGTAATTCTTATCTTTACTAGTGTCTTTTATAGATCTTTAAAGATATCCAAAATTCATTATCCTTAGCAGTACTTTTTGAAGTTTCTCTTCTCATTCCTTATATATCCCACTTCTACAAGCTCCCTCAAAATTTTTGTACCTTAATTCTAGTTTTCCACAGTTTTCCAATTATCAGCCATGTGGGCTTTTCTTTTTTCTTTCCTTTCTTCAGCTTCCACTCACATTCCTCATTTTTGACTCGATGTTCCCCGCCCACCCCACCCCCCCACCCACTCCCCGCCAGATAGGAAAATCTAAGAACTTTTCAATGCAAATTCCCCATTTGGCTTCCTCAGGTCTTCCCCAGTTCATTACCTTCGTTGGCATAGTACTGCTCAGGAGTTGGAAGGAATAAAAGAGAAAATAGGTGACAACTTAAGGCCAGAATTTTTCTTAAGAGGTTTGTGTTTGGTGGGACAGGGTGGCGGGGTGTGTATACACAGCAGAGCCTGAAATCACCCACATATTTACATTATTCCCTTATGAGATTCATTTCTGACCAGTAGCTGTGTCTTATTTCAGTGTTGGAAGGTCAGGTAGATTTTGATAGTTCCTCTTTTTTTTTTTTTCCTCGCATTTTCTGTCATATCCTCCTCACTGTCTTCTCTTTGGTAGAGTGAAATTGAAAAGCAGTGACTGATTGATTGTATGAATATACCAAGACTGTAAATTCAAATGAATGTCCCTTTCAACATAGTCAGTCACCCTATTAAGCCACACCCTTATTGCAGCCAGATTGGGCATCTCCTTAAAATCCTGACACTTATTCTTCAGCATGTACTCAGTTCAGTCAGGTCTTTGAAAGGTGAGCTTGAATTTAATGTTTCAGAAACAACTCAAGTCATTTGGACATATATCTTTTTAGTAAAGTAGGTGGGCAACCTTGACGATTTTCTTAAATGTTTTTATATAACTAAAGAGATATAACTGCTTGTGTTTATCTGTGTTAATGTGTCCAGTAAGCTGATTCTAAAAGCTCCTACCCTAAAAGATGTTGGTCAGTGCATCACTACAGATTTAATCATATGACCTTCTAGGATAAGTGCTTTGAAAGACAAAAGGCAATTGTGTTTATCAGTTAAAGTACATTAGGTGTGTTGTTGGATAATTTATTTAACGTGGGGTGATTATGACTTTGGGCTTTGGAGTCAGATAGACTTCAGTTCAAACCTCAGTTCTCCCTGTGCCTTTGAGTAAGCTAGACTATAACTCTAAGCCCATCTGTGAATGGTACAACTGAACCTCCCTCATAGGAAGAGAATGACCCCTCATAGTGGTCAGAATGGAAGGAGAGAACACAGTAGAAAACATTTACTGTAACACTAGTACAAGGCAAGTTCTCCATTATTGCTAAATAAAAATAGCAACAGGAAGAGGAAGAGAGGACATGGGTGAAGGTGACTCTATGGTGTCTCTCAGTAGATGAGCTCTGTGTGTCCCACGCTCTTTACTGGTGTGGCATGCTGCCGCACTTCGTGTTTTTTGTTACTCACTCTCTTGTCTTTTCAGAGTCTCTGTCTTTTCTCTCCTCTCTTTTTACACACACACATATTTCTGGACAAGGATATTTCAGGACTGACAACTCCAGGGGCGATGATGCTAAGTCATACCATAGGGACTATCAGAACAAGGTCATATAAAAGTGATGAATCCCTGTGGACACAAGGAATTTCTTGTCAGTTTTTTCCAGCTTATAGGTTTTTCAGTTTCCTGCCATTCATTCCTAAACTAACTTACATGCTGTCCAGTGTCTGGTAATTTAACACAATTTACACCATGAGTTAAAATTTCCTGGCGTGAGGTTATGGCCTCAAGAGTACTCTTGCTTCTGTTCCATAAGTTTATGGTAAGACATGGAGAGCTGAAACAGGCCCTTTGGGATTGGTAGGCTATGGCCTGATCTAGTCTGCCAAGAGCAGGAAATCTTAACAGGTGTCAGTCCTAAGCATTCCACTGAGTAATCTCTACCTCTTTCTCACTGGTACAGAACTAACCCATTGCTTCACTTTATTATGAGG